TTTCAACATTTGATGCTCACTGCTCAACAATCAACTGCAGAGATTAATGGATGAAATTTTTCACTTTATTTCTCTACTCCATGCCTTCTCCCAGATTGTCTAAAAAAATTTTTTTTTTTTCCAAAAACTCCTCTAGGATGTTGGTAGGCTTAAGGAAGAACAGAAAGGAACCTGAAGGTGGGGAGAGAAGAAAACTGGGGGCAAGGAAATTGAAGTCTGGGTGACTGGGAAAACAGGCCAGCCTGGGTGGGCAGCTGGTGGCAATGGCAAGCCAGAAAGGAAATCTGGTTTTCAAGAGTGTAAAAAGTGAATTATATGGAGGTTGCTTGGAAGAAAATTCCATTTTGTCCAATATCTGCTTTTAACTTTCACAGGGCTCCTGTTTTCTTGTTTTGTTTTAGTGCTCCATTGAAACTTACAGACATGTACACAGATCATAGTGTACAACTCAATGAATATTCACAAAGTGAACACACTTTATATCCAACACCCAAATCAAGAAATTCACCAGCACTCTTAGATGCTGCTTTCAAGCCCCCTTGCAGTTACTCCTTTGCATATTTATATAAATGGAATCGTACACTGTGTACTCTTTTGGGGCTGGCTTATTTTGACCAGCATTAAATGTGTGAGATCTTTCTGTAACATGGCATGTTGTAGGTCTTCATTCTCCCTGTTGGGTAGGATTCCATATGTGGATATGTTATAATGTATCCGTTCTAATACTGTAGGCCATTTGGATGGCATTCAGTTTGGGGCTGTACAAATACTGCTGCTGTGATTATTCTTGTACATGTCTTTTGAACGTACACGTATTTTTGGTGGGCATACGCCAATGAGTGAAAAAGTGGGTCACAGGATATAGACAAATTCAGTTTTTATAAACCTTTTCCAAAATGGCTGTACCATGCCATAGTTTGAATGTGTGCCTGCAGAAGTTCCTGTGTTGGAAACCTAATCCCCAGTGCAACAGTGTTGGGAAATGGTAGCTAAGAGGTAATGACGTTGCGAGGGCAGAGCCCTCATAAAGGGATCCGTGTTGTTATCTAGAGAGTGGCTTAGTTATCATGATAGTGGGTTGTTATAAAGCAAATGTGGCCCCTGGTGAATCTCCCTGTCTGGAGTGTTCAGTTGCTCTTCTGCCACGTTATGACACAGCAAGAAGGCCATGCTCTTGGATTTTTCTACCCCAGAACAGTGAGAAACAAATTTCTTTATAAATTACCCAGTCTCTGGTATTCTGTTACAGCAGCAGAAAATGGACTAAACATATCACCTTCCACTTTTACCAGTACTTACCTAGATTCTCCCTACCATGTGGCATTTTGTGTCTTTTAAATTTTAGTCATTCTAGTGGGGGATGTACTGGAATTGCACTTTGGTTTATTTATTTATTTATTTATTTATTTATTTATTTATTTATTTATTTAGAGACAAGAGTTTTGCTCTTGTTGCCCAGGCTGGAGTGCAATGGTGCGAACTCAGCTCACTGCAACCTCCACTTCCCGGGCTTAAGCAATTCTTGTGCCTCAGCCTCCCGAGTAGCTGGGATCACAGGCATGTGCCACAAGACCCAGCTAATTTTTTTGTATTTTTAGTAGAAATGGGGTTTCACCATGTTGGTCAGGCTGGTCTCAAACTCCTGACCTCGTGATCCGCCCACCTCTGCCTCCCAAAGTGCTGGGATTACAGGCAGGAGCCACCACGCCCAGCTGCACTTTGGTTTTCATAAGTAATGAAATTGAGCAAAATGACCCTGTCCTTTAATAAAGAGACCAGGTGCACAACTCATCACCTTAGGGACTGAGACGTGCCAAGGGAGTTTTTCTTCCACTTACGAAGGGAGTCATTTGGTTTAGGCCTGCACTGAAGGTGACAAGTTGGATGTTTCCCTTAAGCTTAACAGTTGAGACCAGGTGTGGTGGCTCACACCTGTAATCCCAGCACTTTGGGAAGCGGAGGTGGGTGAATCACCTGAGGTCAGAAGTTCGAGGCCAGCCTGGTCAACATGGTGAAACCCTGTCTCTACTAAAAATACAAAAACTAGCTGGGTGTGGTGGTGGGCACCTGTAGTCCCAGTGACTCAGGAGGCTGAGGCAGGAGAATCGCTTGAACCCTGGAGGTGGAGGTTGCAGTGAGTCAAGGTTATACCACTGCACTCCAGCCTCCAGCCTGGGCAACAGAGTGAGACTCCATCTCAAAAAAAAAAAAAAAAAAAAACAAACAAAAAAAACTTAACAGCTGAGCCCAAACCAGCTTAACCAAAGGTTTGACCAATAACAACAAAGAAGAAAATGACATGACTTGGGCTGACCCTTGAGGGCCAGAATTAAATGTTGAGATGAGAGCTTTTGCAGTTACAGCAAAGTCCTCTTTATCTAAATACAAACAATGCCCAAACCTCAATTTTATTCCCTTCATACTACTACGTAATGGGAATGAATACAGATAAATTTCAGTTACGTTTCAGCGACCAGCAACACTCCAGCCTGTGAAGACCCACTTGGAATTCAAGACTTGATATAAAGATGATGATGATGATTATGATTAAGACGGAGTTTAAGCTCTTGTTGCCCAGGCTGGAGTGCAGTGGCATCATCTCGGCTCACTGCAACCTCCGCCTTCCGGATTCAAGCAATTCTCCTTTCTCAGCCTCCCAAGTAGCTGGGATTACAGGCACTCAGCACCACGCCCGGCTAATTTTGTATTTTTAGTAGAGACGGGGTTTCACCATGTTGGTCAGGCTGATCTCGAACCCCCGACCTCAAATTATCCACCCACCTCGGCCTCCCAAAGTGCTGGGATTACAGGCGTGAGCCACAGCACCGGCCAAAGATTATTTTAAACTAAAGACATTTGAGATTCAACAGATGCAAAAGTGAGCTTTTTCGGAGCTTCCTTTATGTGACTAAAGGCAGAAACTTCTGAGAGTGAAGCTGCCGTAAATCCCCTCCCAGGGAGCTTTAGTGGGCATGAAAAGGGATGGACACCATTGGCACCTACGTAAACAAACATCGCTAGAAACTTTCCTATCTCCTAAAACTCATTTGTCTTTCCTAAAGAAACCACTTGATCTTCCCATAGATGCCCTTTTCTATGAGAGAGCTCCCCCTCTTTCCCTTATTGTTGGTTATATAAACCCCATCTCTAATTATGGAGGAAGCCACTTTTGTGCACTTCCATGTGTGTATGGATAAACTTTTTCTTTTGTTAATTTTTAGTTAATCAGTAGACCCTCAATCAAACCTGATAGAGGAAAGAGTTTTTCCTCCTGACAATCCTTTGAATGGCAGTAGGACCCACCAGTTTGGGCTTTCCTCATCCCATTACTTTCCTCACCCCGTTAATCGATACCCTTTGTAGAACAGTTCTCGTTAAAATAGTTTTAATATCATATATTTGATTTAAAATTTATGACTCCAGCGTGGGAGTGCTTATGTGAATATTGCTTCACACACGTGTGCCAAAGGTCTAGTGAAACATCACCACGCCTTAGTGTTAAAGCTTACTGTCCATCCGCGCTGCTGGCGATGAGTTTTCCTTTTGGTAAAGCCAGGACCTTGGACATAACCTCTGGCCGCCTCATGGGGCCTGTCCCGCACAGCCATGCAATCAGCAAGCGGGGCTGCTGCAGACCTCAGGCACAGGGAACGCCAGGGCTACCGACTGATTTTCCCCGCTGGTAACTTTTTTTTTTTTTTTAATCGGGACAAATGTGTGCTCCTAGTCAGACCGAACCTCTGAAAGTAGAATTTCAATTATGGCCTTAATGTATGTTGTTATTTCTAATAAAAGCAGACTTAAAAGGGACTCAAACACATTTTTCTCCCCATTTGGGTCAGGGGAGGGGGACCAAAGGGCAGGAGAGCTCCAAACGTTCCATCTGATCCCAGCGGAACAAGGGCTGAGCCTCCTGATTCCCCTTGGTGAATAGTGGGGCACCTGCTCGCTGCCAGGTGAAAGCTCGTGCTGAACAGAGCAACGTGCAAAGCTGAGCCTCGCGCAGAGCCGGGAGCGACTCCCCCAGGGTGGGCTCTGAGCTGCCCTTCAGGCCAGTGGCACGGAGGGGCGCGATCCAGCGGCGCGGGTGAGCTTACCTGCAGGGGCTGCGGCCAGGAGGAAATGCGCCACCGCCCAGGCCAGGGCCCCGGGTGCGGGAGGGGCAGAACGTGGGACCCGGAGGGGGGACCCAAGGGCTGCGGGCGGGAGAATACGGGTGGGGCTGCCTGGGAGGGAGCCTGAGACAAGACCCGACGCCCCCAGCCGCTCCACGTCGCTCTGCAGCGGCCCCGTCCTCTTCCAGGCGTACACGGGCGCGACTGGCCTCGACCGCAGTAGGAAGGCGCTGCACCGGCCCGAGACACAGACACAGCGGCTTCCTATCATGGGGGTGATCGCTGGGGAGTTTAAAAACACCTGTGGCCAGACCCCAGCCCAAACCAAGTGAATCTGTCTCGGGGACCAGGCTGGGGGGACGCTGGTCCTTGCTTGTTCTGAAGGCCCTGAAGGAGATTCGCTGGTGCAGCCACTTGTGATCCGTTTTCTAAATGGATTAGTCAGTGCCTAGGAGATGGCTTCTAGCACATCCAAAATCGGTAAGGATTTTTAAAAGACTCATTTTCTGAAAATTCGGAGAGCCAGGTGTGAAAGATAAAGCGAAGTGGCGCACCTACCTTTCCACTGACAGGTTTGGTTGCGATTTTGAGAATTGGCTTCATGTGGCAAGTCTGGCATAAAAACCCAACTGCACCTCTAAAAACACGTGTTCACATGTGTCAACAAATACTTTGTTGCAAATATACTTGCGTGTTTTTCATAAACGAGTGTTATTTGTGTCAGAGAAAGGGTGAATTTTGCTGTACTTAGTCTGCTTTAAGGGGATTTGTCAAAAAAAAAAAAAAAAAAACTAATCAAGCAAACTGGAATGCACCAATGTTCCCAGATGTGAACCATATACTCCAAGCTATTCCTCAGCAAATGCAAAGGATGACAAGTGTCAGTACTTCATACAACTAGATTTAATAAGTTGTTATTACAGAAAAAAATGAAGTCCAAACTACAAAGTTTAAGCAGTTGTAAGCAGTAGCTGCATTGAGCTCCATGTTTAGTCACAGTACTGTAGTTCCATACAAGCAATATTAGTCCAAGCCCCAAAGGCAGAAGCTGAGTAAGGGTTACTAGCAAAAAACAATCTAAGAGAACAAGTAATAAAAGATACAATACATTTAAAATTAGTTGTTAGTTGAAAAACAAATACAGAGATCTTAGCTGTGAACACCCTAAAAGTTAAGTCCATTATTTTGACAGCAAAAATACAAATACCTAATACTTTATACCCCAACAGAACTATATCCAGGTAAGAAAAAGAGCATAAGTTATCCTGTATTAGCACCCAAGTTTTCTACTTGTTGCAATTAACTTTGTCATCATACAAATTTAAACATCCCCGAATCATATAGCCACTTCTTGACCCATTTTGGGGTATAAAGTCAACAGCATTAATTATAAAACACTCTGTGGTAAGATGGAACACTATTGCAGCTGAGATAGAGAAGTTTAGTTATTATAAAAGAAAAAAAAACAAAGAAATGTTAGCTGACATACCATACAAGCTAGTGAAAAGCAACAATCCATTCAAATAAGCCATTTTTAACAAAAAGATACATTTTTTTCACTAATCTGTGACTAATCTTTCACTCAAACCTTGCAAGTAGAGATGTCACAATACTCAAATATTTAGGTAGGAGCTTTACCCAGTTAAATGCCATTTTGTTGCTAATATAATAGATAAAATGAAAACTAGCAGTTATTTGCTAATTGCATAAATGCAGTACATTCTGCATTAGCCCATGCCTCACTAACAAGCTATAAAACACAAGATATAGGCAGAAATCTAAGCATAATCTTTATACCACTAAGCAAGAATTTTCCGATTTCTTTTCTTCTGTTCCTAATCATTTATTTGTAGTTAATGTAAAATTCCAACCAGTAGTACCCAATTTGAGTTAAAATTTTACATCACAACTTGATCTAATCTATATATTATTTACAAAACTGAATACATAGAGCATACCCAAGACCAACTCTGGACACAAGTTTCTCTGAGTTATTGATGAACCTCACCTCCACAGCGATGGAGCTGAAAGAGGCCATCAACCACTAGTAGAAACATATCATCTATCTGGAGCAAGTCATTGGCTGTTCTGTTTACGCAACACCAGTTTTGCAGTTGTAGTTTTTGCTTTGACTGTAGGTGCTATTGCAATGACACATTAATGACTGTGCCTTAACTGCACAGCTTCCAGGTGAGGAGGGTGTTGGAAAAGCAGCAGCAGAAAGGCAGACAGATCATGCACGCAGTTGCCACAATGAAAGGCAAACAAGGGGCACCAGAACAGGAAGCAGGCGTGGGTGTGGAGGAAGATGCAACCCGACACATAGTCAGGGTCCACAGACAGTGGTGACATCCGAGTGTGCTTCTTCAGTGCCACCAACTGAGCCTTACAGGGAGGCAGCACGAGTGAGACCCTGCAGGTGAGGTCTGCAGTACACCACGAAGGCGGTGTCCTCTTAGCAACTTCCTGTATGACTCAGACATCACCACTGTCAGTGCACAGAAAAGATTCGGCCTGGGAGAAAGGCACTGTCTCACACAAGGACAGCAGTTGGTGGCAGGTTCTCTCTCTTTCTCTCTCTCTCTCTCTCTCTCCCACACACACACACACACACACACACACACGACATAATGAAGAGTTAGAGGGGAAAAAGCAATGAAACATTCTGTTGACTTAGCCAGATTTGAAACCCGGTGGTATTCCGGTTGGGGTGACTTCATTCTCAGGGCCACAGGTTTGGCTGCACCTGGTGTTGTATAAATCCACCGTGACATCCCTAGAGAACTGCACTGTGACATCCCTAGTCTTACACTAAACCACTGTGATAAAGGAAAAGGCTTCTCAAAATCTCACATGTTCTGCTCATTCTGTCATTTTATTACCCAATTATCCGTTACATTTCCAATCACTTTACATAACCAACCATTTTCATCGTTGTCACACTATTGTAAACCACATCAGCAAGTTAATACATAAAGCTTTGCATTTCAAAAAACTAGACACTTTAGTAACAATATTACAAAGGTTTTAGCTTCAAAAATAACTGAAAATGAAAAAAATAAACTTTTAAAGAATTAGCATCATAAAATTAATTTATTCCAATAAAAATACAAAATAATATTATGACATTGACCAGATATGAAAGTCCCTCCCAGAAACAACTCTATTAATGATTGAGAAAGCACTCCTTAAAGAAAATACGAAATAAAATGAAAAATATGTAAATATGTTTAATTTTTTTCTTAGCAAAAAATCTTTCTAAAAATAACAATGAAAATTTGTCTCAGTACAAAGGCTACATTACTATTGAAAAAATACCAGCATGAAGAAAAGGTACATATTTGACAGTAGAAAAATGATTTCAGTGAATCACAATGTCTAAAGTTTGCAATGAAAATAAATCTGCAATAAAGATTTATGCCTTTTTTCTTTTCTTTTTTTTCTATTTTTTATACAAACAGTACAAACAGTATTGCACATAACAACAAATAGTCGAGGTTAAGTTATAGCCTTCAAAAAATCGACTAGTTCAAGTGTCACACCAAGGAAAGGCCACAGCAGGACCTGTGTTACCCAGGGGCTTCCCAGTCAAGTTGCAGGTCAGAACACCTCTGTGTTTTAAAAAATAATTTTTTTGAAGGACCCTCTCTTTTAATATAACATTAACAACTTGGGGGCACATTTATTTACAAAACAAAAGGGAACGTGTTATAATTTAATAAACTAAAAAAGTTCTCTTTAAAAAAATACAAACAGAAGAACTCTTTCACAATCCTGGTCAGTCGCGCACAATCAACGCTTGATTAGAAATATACAAATTAAGGGAAAGTAGTTTCCACCATCTATTCACAACGTTCAGCACCAAATGGAGTTTATTTTTTGTAACCTATTCTTCAGGACAATGTTTTTTGTCTTCACTTTAGCTTTATGCTGTACAATCTTCCAGCTTTTTAAAAAATCTCAGTGTTATTTTAATACATGAAAGAGGGGTGCTTCTTCAAAAAGTTTTGCTTCTTTCACATAATTAGGTAGATTTCTGTAGGTTAGATATGATCTTTAATATTATAGTTATAAAGCTCTAACTTCTTCATTTTCAAAAAACACAAATAAGCATGAAAAAAATAAAGTTACCCATCTGTTAAATCATTTTCTTGCAGAATTAAATTAATATATATTTTTCTGAATAAACTTACTTAGAAAATATCATTTTCTTTCCTATATTTCAAAATTGAGGTATTGCAAAAGATCATGTCAGTCAGAAAGCATGCCTTTTTCCTTAAAAACAAAAAAAAATCTGCCAACTTTTGAAAACTGTCTAGAATACAAAAAGTAGTAGTGCATAACAAAATTTCTTGTACAGATGAAAAAAAAACCCACAAACATAGAAAAAAACAAACAAAACCACACCGGGGCTGGAAAAAAGCAATTATTACCAAAAAGCCTTAAAAAGGGGAGAATTCTAAAATAAGCATTTTTAATCCAGTAAAAAACTATTTTGTTTTTCCTTTTTGAAAACAAACTATAGCTTGAGAGTCAGTAATTGCAACCAAACATGGGAGAACGAAACAAAAGCAACACTAACTTAAGACAGTACAAGGACATCACAGCACAGAAAACACAGCGACTTAAATCTATTCTGCAGTGTCATATCCAGTCAGATTGTCCCCAGAATTCCAAAACATAGGAAGAAGATTAAAAAAAGATTTACATAGTCTTGCAATCATTGTGTGTGTTTATATATTACTATCTGCAGCCCAAGGGTGAATGCTAGAAAAATGTCCACGCTAGTGCTAGCAGGCCTCCATTCTAGACCACGCTAGTGCTAGCAGGCCTTCATTCTAGACCACGCTAGTGCTAGCAGGCCTCCATTCTAGACCACGCTAGGGTTAGCAGGCCTCCATTCTAGACCACGCTAGGGCTAGCAGGCCTCCATTCTAGACCACGCTAGTGCTAGCAGGCCTTCATTCTAGACCATGCTAGGGCTAGAAGGCCTCCATTCTAGACCACGCTAGGGCTAGAAGGCCTCCATTCTAGACCACGCTAGGGTTAGCAGGCCTCCATTCTAGACCACGCTACGGCTAGCAGGCCTTCATTCTAGACCACGCTAGTGCCAGCAGGCCTTCATTCTACTCAAGCTTAACAGGATAAATCCAGGGAATTAAGTAGTTAGTTTCTCACCCAGACAACCCACTCTGCCCAGGCCATCTTATTTTGTACAGACATTTCTTTAGCATCACCATTACACAACTTTCTTAAAAATGTGCCTAGTTTGTCAATCTGACAACTTATCTCTATATCCTGTATATATTCTTAGTGTTTGTAAGCTAAGATGAGCTCTTTGGTTTTCTGGACAAGGTCTGAAGCTATGTAAAATGGTGCAAGCACTAAGAGATTGTAACTAAGAGCTCATGTGTTAGTTTATAATATACCAGTTATGAACTGTCAAGTTCGTTAATGTCTGACAGAGGCTTTAAACAGTTAAGTTTGATCACAGTTAGACATAATCACTTTACTATATAAAATAAATTGCACAATATATAACAGAGCACCGCAAAGTACTTCATCTACCATCCACAAATTTGCTTGAAGAATATCCTACACCTAGGTTTTATATCGGTTGTAATATAGGTCATTCTGTTATGGGCTCTTCTCATTCAGAGCATTCCATTTACTGAGGCATGCCTTCCTCTGGTCAATTACCAATTCTTTGAATGAAAAAAACTTTTTTTAAAAAATGAGTATTTTATAGCTTATATAGATTCTTAATTTGTGCATTGTGGGAACGTTTTATACTAGACATTGGATATAAAATTTATTGCATGCAGCAACCTGATTAAGTAAACATGCAGTCAGAAATAGTGACCTTCCACCGAAGCTTTCTGAAGTCTATTCTGATCTCCTTTCGGCAGCTGACTCTATCCCTAAAATCACAAAAGTGTGTTGTTGGGTTTTTGTGTTTAATTGATATCTTAGCCTGAATAGAGTATTATGGTATTAATAATACCATTTTAATAGCAGCAAAAGCTATTGCAGCATAAATTTACATAATACTAAAAGATCTAACCAAAATCCTCGGCAAAACAAAAATCAAACATGAAGGAAAAATAAAAGATCCAGCTTATGAGGTATCCTTACAAGTCAAAATAGAGAGCAACTAAAGGCTTATTTTCATGAAGGGTTATCCTTACTCTAAGTGACCCGAACTAATGATTCTGAATTGTTGTGAAGTTTTTGCTACATCTGCCACCTACTCACGAATATTACCTTTGGTAAGTCTTGTTCTAGGGGCAACTCTCTAAGTTTCTGAAAATAAGTGCATGCTCCAGTTCAAAACAATCAGAACAACACCACCACAGCAACAAACAAAAGAATCACAGACAGTAGCCTGACGGCCGCTAATGAGAATGGCAGCCTACATACTGTCACGAGTGACAAATCAGGTATAAAAAATTAAGGTACCAAGCAGACAAAGGTGTGAATCAAAGTGCAAATCAGTACCATTCTACACTCTGCAATTCTGCATTATACTGGACACTGAGTTCAGTAATATGACTGTAAATAATAATAATAATAATAATTAATAATAATAATAAAAAGACCCAATTCTTCTTTAAAAATCAAGAACGAATGCACAGATTTCCAGAACACTGTAAGCCCTGAGGCAGTGCCCTCTCTCTCCCCTCCTTGTTATCTACTCCAGTACTGTGGCTGGGTCGGCCGTGGCTCAGCTCCAGCGGAACGGGACGTGACGAGGGCGGTCGCCTCCCTCCTTCACCAGCGGTTTGTGGAACTCCCGCCCGGCTCGGGAATGTATGCTCGCCCAGCAGTATTCACAGTAATACTGCAGACAGGTGACGTTGGCACAGAAGAACGGGGCAAACTTCCCACCACAGCGTGTGCCCTGGCACTCATCACACATCTGATCATCTAGCACATATGGCTTTACTTCAACCTGGACCCAAAGAGGAAAGACAGAGAAAAATGGTTTAGCAAAGCTTCCTCACATGTCTTGCTTTTGAGAGTTTATAGTATAGCTTCACGGTACGTCTCAATCAGATGCTGCTTTCAACTCTGCTGATACTGGATGGTAATCGACAGCATAGGCTTTGGAATAAGCTCCTTGATTTACTTCTTGTGTGATATGAGACAAATTCTTAAAATCTCTCTGCCTCTGTTTGCTCTATGACTATATCTGTAAAATGGGTATGTTTTCACACACATAAACACATCTAACACACACACATTTGTGTAATCTGTAAATGGGTATAACAGTGTTTACATCAAAGGGTGCTGGGGAGGATTAAGAGGGGCTGAGCTGAATCCTGAAAGCTGAATCCTGAAAGCTTTGTCTGACAGTGCAGGACAAAGAAGAACACTGCAGGGAGAGGAAGCAGCCAGGACAAAGGCCATAAGCAAGAGGAGGCAGGCACATCCTTGGGAGATGCTGTGGCTGGAGCCAGGCCTGAGGGCAAGAGGCACACTGAATATGGGAGGAGCTGAAGGGTACACTGCTGTGAGGCTGTGCACCTCAGTGTCGTAGTGATGCAGCTCCCTGAGACTAACACCCCAATACTGCATACCATGGACTGGAGAGGAAAAGGGACTCACAGCTGAGGTGTTAAGAAGCTACTATAATAATTGGGACTTTTTTAGTTTTGGAACTTTCTCTGTTACCTTAATCTCCCCCCAACACTGGAAACTTCAATAGAAGACAACTTTTCATCACAGCCCTTTAGGGAACATTTTTAAATCTAAATGAAGCAAAGCTGTATGACTGAAAACCAAAAGAAGAAAAAAGTTACCACGTTCTCACCCACTTTCCTTTCCTAGAACTTTAGAAAAGAAACATCATTAACTTTATTTATTTTTAATTATTATTATTATTTTTGAGATGGATTGTCACTCTGTTGCCAGGCTGGAGTGTAGTGGTGTGATCTCGGCTCAATGCAACCTCCACCTCCCGGGTTCAAGCCATTCTCCTGCCTCAGCCTCCCAAGTAGCTGGGATTACAGGAGTGCACCACCACGCTCGGCTAATTTTTTGTATTTTTAGTAGAAATGGGGTTTCACCATGTTAGCCAGGCTGGTCTCAAACTCCTGATCTCAGGTGATCCGCCTGCCTCAGCCTTCCAAAGTGCTGGGATTATGGGCGTGAGCCACCATGCCCGGTCGAAATACTATCTTATTGTGGTTTTGATTTGCATTTCTCTAATGATGGACAATGTTTAGCATTTTTTTCATGTGCTTGTTGTCCGTTTGTGTATCTTCTTTGGAGATACACAACTCAATGAGGAAATGCATAGAGAATAATTCACATAAGAATTCACAGACAATTCACATAAAAATGTTTATATTAACTGGTTGTGGTGGCATGCACCTGTAATCCCAGCTACTCAGGAGGTGAGAGGATCACTTGAGCCCAGGAGTTCAAGCCCGGCCTGAGCAGCATACTGTTTCCCTGGCTCTTAAAGAAAAAAAGAAAAAAAGAAAAAAAAAAAAAGATGTTCATATTTACTTGTAGTCAGGAAAAAAAATTGATGCCATTATTCTCATCAGACTGGCAAACATTTAAAAGAGTGATAACTATTTCTCATCATTTGCTGATAGAAATATGAATTGCTACAACTTTTTTTTTTTTTTTTTTTTTTAAGATGGAGTCTCACTGTTGTTGCCCAGGCTGGAGTGCAATGGAACAATCTCAGCTCACTGCAACCTCCACCTCCTGCAACCTCCACCAGCTCACTGCAACCTCCACCTCACTGCAACCTCCACCTCCCAGGTTCAAGCGATTCTCCTGCCTCAGCCTCCCAAGTAGCTGGGATTACAGGTGCCCACCACCACACCCAAATATAATTTTTATATTTTTAGTACAGATGGGGTTTCACCATGTTGGCCAGGCTGGTCTCAAATTCCTGACCTCAGGTGATCCCCTGCCTTGGCCTCCCAAAGTGCTGGGATTACAGGCGTGAGCCACCACACCTGGTCTGCTACAACATTTTTGAAAAGCAAACTAGCAAATTATTCAAATTAAAAATATGTATACCCTTCAACCCAAGAATCCCAGTGTTGACTATTGTTCCAGATGCAATCCCAATGCTTGGAAATATAACCACCAGAAGTGAGGACATATGTAAAGTATATCTACTGCGATACTTGTCCACAATGGCAAAAAATCAGAAACAAAGTAAATGTCTAGCTACAGGGAAACACTTGAATAAAATATGGGTAATCCATTCCGATGGAATATCATGCAGCCATGAAAAAGACTTAATTATGCTCCATCGGTTGATGAGAAAAGATTTCCATTACACAGGGACATTAGGACCAAGTGGAACGATGGCTACTGCAAGCTGTAAAATGCTGAACAAACATACGTAAGGTCATGTAATACATTTGTGCTGATATTTGAAAATGCAGTATTAATAAAACAGCACCTTCTGTCTATTTGGGCTTCCAACTAAGCTTGGTAACAGTGCTCCTTACTGGCTAAAGGGTTTTGGGGGATCTAGTCTACACAGTAGTTCAGAAGATGTGTCATGAAGGCTTTCATGACTGCCTTGAGGCCAGAGGCACACAGTGATGCCTTATTTACCAGCTTTCTTAGGGAATAACATATACCTCAAGTTATTTTTCCAGAAACCAGGCACTTCTCCTTTTTGGTGCCAAAATATGTTGAATGTTGATGTTTTTTGACAAAAATCTTGCTAAAATGTACTAGTTCCCCTCCCCCTCTTAGATAGGAGACATTATGAACATTATTCCTAAGGAATGCCAAGTAATACAATGCAGTAGAGAGTTTTCACTTTTTCTGTCAGCCCCCTTCAAAATCTGGTGGTCCGTTATCATATCTAAAACACGTTCCAAACACCTCTTTTAGGTTTGCAATTTCCAATCATTTTCATTTTGCCTGGAAAGTTAGGAAAAAATCAAGTTTGTGAAGAGCTGAACATTAAATGCCAATAGATATGACTCTTAATATGGTGAAAAAAAATAGGCTGGGTGCAGTGGCTGATGCCTGTAATTCCAACACCTTGGAAGGCTGAGGCAGGAGGATCCCTTGAGCCCAGGAGTTCGAGACTAGCCTGGGCAACAACAACAAAAAAATTAGCCCTGCATAGTGGGATGCACCTGTAGTCCCAGCTACTTGGGAGGCTGAGGCGGGAGGATCCCTTGAGCCCAAGAGCTAGAGGCTGCAGTGAGCCAAGATCCTGTCATTGTACTCCAGCCTAGGTGACACAGTGAGACCCTGTCTCAAAAATATATATGTAATAATAGTAAAAATAAAAAACAGAATGTGGCTTTTGGATTGCTACTGTGCTCTCAGGGCCTTTCCTGAAAGCTTCCAGAGGGCAGTCTTCCAGAGGGATGAGCGGTGCTGTCCCTGCAGAGCTGCTCCTGAGGGTGTCTGAAGAGCAGAGGTTTGCCTAACGACAAGACACACACCATGATGATCCACAAACACAGACATGCGAGTTAGCTACTACGACCTCTCAAACAGCAACAGGCAAACAGTATTTCTGGATTGAAATCAACAAAAGAGAGGCAGAGCAAGATGGAAGAACAGAAGTCTCTGCCGATCAACCTCCACCTGACCCATGCCCCACAAGAACAGGAAGTTAGTAACTATCTACACAGAAAAAAACACCTTTAGAAGAACCAAAAATCAGGTAGGTCCTCCTAGTACCTGGTTTTATCTTCATATTGCTGAAAGAGGCACTGAGGAGATAGAAAAATAGTCCTGAATCACCAAGTATTTAAACCAGCCCGCGCCTGAGGGGAATCTCCAATTCCAGCAGGGGGAACTCGAGTTCCCCCAAGCCTCGCCACTGTGGGCTATAGCGCTCTGTGTCTCCAAATCAACTTGAAAATCAGTCTAGGCCATAAGGACTGCAACACTTAGGTGAGTCCTAGTGCTGAACTAGGCCCAGAGACAGGGGATTCAGGGGGCACATGGCCTACTGAGACATCAGCCAAGGGAGGGCTGGCATCACCCCTGCCCTAACCCCAGGCTGCACAGCTCATGGCTGCAAAAGAGACCTCTTCCTTCAGTTTGAGGAGAGGAGAGGGAAAAGTGGGAAGGGCTTCGTCTTACGTCTTGGATACCAGCTCAGCCACAGAAGGACAGGGCACAGTCAGAATTGTGAGGTCCCTTTTCCAGGCCCTAGCTCCCAGGTGACATTTCTAGACACACCTTGGGCCATAAGGGAACCCACTGCCTTGAAGGAAGGACCCAGTCCTGGCAGCATTCATTACCTGCTGGCTGAAGAGCCCTTGGGCCCTGAATAGCCAGCAGTGATACCCAGGACCTTGGGTGAGCCTCTGAGACTTGCTGGCTTCAGGTACCAGCAAGGCCACAGTTGGGTAGAGCAGTGGGCAGGCTCCTGGGGTCCCCAACTCTAGGATTTGACTCTTGGATGGCATTTCTGGACCTGCCCTGGGCCAGAGGGGAGCCCAGTGCTCTGAAAGAGGGTTTCAGGCCAGGCAGTGTTTACCACGGGCTGACTTAGGGCCTTAAGGGAATGCTGGACTTAGTCTGGCAGTACTTCTCATGGCCTGGGGTGGCGGTGGTGGAAAAGTGAGACTCCTCCGCCTTTGGAAAGGGGAGGGAAGAGTGGGAAAGACTGCAGTTGTAGTTTGAGTGCCAGCTCAGTCACAATACAATAGAACACCAGGTAGACTTCTAAGGTTTTCCACTTTAGTACATGATGCCGGGACAGCATCTCTGAGTCTGCCCAGGGGCTTGGGGAAACTCACCGCCCTGAAGGGAAAGACATAAGCCTGGCTGGCTTTGCCACCTGCTGATAGTAGAGGCCCAGGGCCCTGAGTGAACACAGGCAGTAACCAGGGAGTGGTTACGGCAGGCCTTACGCAAAAGCTGGCTTCAGGTCGGACACAGCACAGTCAGAGTGGTGGTGGCCACAGGGTGACTGAGAACAGAGAGACTCTTTGTTTG